TAAAAACAACAACAATGATGATTATTATCCAAATAATATACGGGATAATGAAAATGCTTCATTTAAGAATATCAGATCATCGAGGAAAGCCAAAGAATATATTGGCTGAAATGGTGTGCTAAAAACAACAACAATGATGATTATTATCCAAATAATATATGGGATAATGAAAATGCTTCATTTAAGAATATCAGATCACAGAGGAAGGCCAAAGAATATATTGGCTGAAATGGTGTGCTAAAAACAACAATAATGATGATAATAGTCCAAATAATTTATCGGATTATGAAAATGCTTCATTTAAGAATATCAGATCATAGAGGAAGGCCAAGAAATATATTGACTGAAATGGTGTGCTAAAAACAACAAAGATGATAAGAGTCCAAATAATATGCAGAACAATGAATAAAGACAGTATTAGTATGAAACGCTGTTGTGACAACAAGGGATGCAAAGATATTGGATGCTGGCAAGTGATACTGAAAAGAAACCAGTGTTGAATGCTTACAATATATGCACACCTGTTGATTAGCAGGAATGTTCTCAAATAGTTGTAGAACAGATGACGACAAGAGATACTCAAGTCAGCATCTTCTGAACATTCTATAATCACACTTTCTATCAATAGGTTTTCATTATCACCTGTATTATGAGACAACTGGCAAATGTGTTTTCCACCATTGGTAGATGTTAACAGATTTTCAGATCTCCATATTTTTAGAAAGATGAAAGGGTCAAAGTTGATGGAAATAATCTATATTAAAAGGTTGGGTGCTGAAAAGTATTGTTTTTTTTTGTTTTTTTTACATAATAATGTTTATGTCTGTCTATATTTCTGAGATGAGGTATTATGTACACTATTTACATTATTCGGACTATTGTCCTCATCTTTGTCGACATATTTATTACGTTTCGGCCCTTCAGTATCTGTCTATATTTCTGAGATAAGGTATTATATACACTATTTACATTATTCGGACTATTGTCCTCATCTTTGTCAACATATTTATTACAACGTTTCGGCCCTTCAGTATCTGTCTATATTTCTGAGATGAGGTATTATATACACTATTTACATTATTCGGACTATTGTCCTCATCTTTGTCAACATATTTATTACAACGTTTCGGCCCTTCAGTATCTGTCTATATTTCTGAGATGAGGTATTATGTACACTATTTACATTATTCGGACTATCATCCTCATTTTTGTTGCCATATTTATTACAACGCTTCTGGCCTTCTTCAGATGGTTGGAATGTCGAACGGAACCCTTTATTTCGCTCACTGAGGTAGACTGTTCTAGTTCCATGTGCCATGTTTAATGGATGTCAGTTATCAGTTATCTCCTGTTAATTCCCCTCTCCATGTTCTCCACTGCCTTTGAGAACCAGGTACTGAACTCACACTCTTTGGGTCCTGTCACTGGATCTAACCAATGCCTTTATCCACTGTGCCATGTGTCCTTGAGGACATCTGTGTTTGAATTTCTGGGTATTCAACATTCCAACCACCTGAAGAAGGCCGAAGCATACAACGGCTGAAGTGTAATAAATATGGTGACAAATGAGGATTATAGTCTGAATAATGTAAATAGTATACATAATAACTCATCTCAGAAATATAGACAGATACTGAAGGGCTGGAATGTTGTAATAAATATGTTGACAAAGATGAGGACAATAGTCTGAATAATGTAAATAGTGTACATAATAAATAGTCCGAATAATGTAAATAGTGTACATAATACCTCATCTCAGAAATATAAACAGATACTGAAAGGCCGAAACTTTGTAAAAAATATGGCAACAAAGATGAGGACAATAGTCTGAATAATGTAAATAGTGTACGTAATACCTCATCTCAGAAATATAGACAGACAACAATATACTGTTCCAGATAGACAATCTATAGCTCTATGGGTTTATATTTTTAAGTAGGTACCTGTATTGAGTGGTAAAAGATTAGCATACCATAATGAAAAAAATATTCCAAAATTAATAAAAACAAAACTAATGCCTTTATCCAATGTGCCATGTGTCCTCAAGGAATATATAAATGAAGAGAGAGATAATGCTGCAGTAGAACTTTGCTAAAACTGTTCAGGAATTCCTCTTGAGTTATAAGAAAATTACTATTTTCACTTAAAGAAAGGACAATCTAACAATAAATAAGTATAAAAAAAATTAAAACTTTATCTTATAAATCTTTATACAATGATTTTTGAGAGAATTAAACTTTATTGATTAAATAAAGATTTAAAAATTATTCCACTCTGGAAAACAAAAAAAAAATCTGATGGTGGTTAATCTCTCAAAACGGGTGGCCAGGATGGCAGTTTAACTCTTTGGATACATCTTTGAATAAAATCTTTTGTCTTTTAGATGGCGTTGGAAAGCTTAAAAGTTAAAATATGTTGTATGATTTGATTTTTATGTTTAACGGTATACCAACACTGTATGGGTCATTTAATGTCGAAATTTAATTTTCTTTGTTATTCTGCTTTCACAATTGAATACATGGTAGATGATACTCGGCTTTTGTGCAAATACATGTTTGTGTGGGCATAATGACTAGAGGTGGTGATATATGTGTGTTTTATGTTGTAGCTTTGCTGAAGTTATATTTTGGAATACAGTTTGATCTCTTTAAGAAATTGTAGGATATTATAGGGATTAATGTCTTGAAAGAGTTCTTTCATGTTCGTTGTTTGGTAGTATTTTAAACAAATTTGGCAGAAGTCACTACAATTTGTTAGCATGTATTTTATTGTGTATAGTTCTTGGTATTACATACAGATAGGAGGTGGCTATGTTTTAGAATATAAGAATGTGTTATGGAGAATCCGATATGTAGTCTGGACATTATTACTTCATTTTTCCTTGTTTTTAGTGTTTGATGCTATTCTTCTATAGTAGGTTTGATGTTATATAACTTTTTGTTTGGGCAGCCAGTTCATAATTTTTTCTATTCTTAAATATGTTGTATATTTTATTTACAATTTGTCTGCTTTTTATAGTTCCTTAGCAAGAGGAGATAATACAAATTTAATTTGTCCAAATTCTTTTTTTCAACACTGTATTGGATGAAATATTCTTTTAAAATATTGGCTCAAGATAATGAGTTTCCTTGTTAATTATCCATAATAGAGTAATTAATAAAATGTTTACTTCTGAATTATTTACAAGAGATGGTAAAGCCCATTGAAACAGGAAAAAACAATTTAATGAATGGTTCACATGAATATATTTATACTAGTTTAGATGTACTATCAAAAAAAAAAAAAAATGTAAGAATCGTCAAGGACTTTTATTTGTAAAATTAATTTTATTTTTACTCTAAGAAAGCCTACTTTTTAAATCCTTAAAAATAAAAATATCTCAAGAAGACTAATACGAGTTGTACTATTAAAAAAACACCAAAAAAACACTGCTACTACTACTGTAATAAGGGTGTTGAGCCTGCAAGAGCCACCTTATCCTTCCAGTTCTCATGCTCATGGTAGAGCAGTGGAACATCCTCTAGCACCAGATTAATATGTTAGTGCTCCTGGTGACAACCTTGTGGCAGACTATGCAGCTGTCACAGATGGTAGGTCAAACTGATAGATGACTCTGGTGGGGTGGTCATCAGGTCATTGCAGGATATGACCAAGCCAGTGAACATGTTGTTGAGTGATGATGTGGAGGATGTTCAGCTGGCCAGTCATCAGCAGACATCCTTATTGGGCATAATATCATACCAGTGCACTGCCCCTAAGCAATGTATGGGGAGAGGTGGGGGTCTTGCTAAGAAGCCACATCTCATTAAAAAAATGACAGTCATATTTAGGTAATTTATATTCATACAACTATAATCACTCACACACACACACACACACAATTAATATAGATTCATCAGAATCTACATTATGCATTTATATATCTACTGCTCCTCCATGCACTGAATATTGCTGCCACATCTAGTCTGGTGCTTCTGCTATGTATTTAGAGATGCTTGATAAAATCAAAATAAGAATCTGCAATGTTATCAATCCTGACCTGGCAACTTGGCTTCAGTCACTTTCCCACTGCTATAATGTAGTTATAGAGTAATGTAGTATAAATGCAGTACGATATTCATAGGTATGTTATTTTACAGTTGAAATTCAGACAACTTAAGACTATTACTACTTGGTGGAAAAGCAAGAGAAATAAGATGAAAGAAATACTAGTCAAAAATGAATAATAATTGCCAAGGCTTCATCGAAGAAATTCAGGCAACTTAAGACTATTACTACTTGGTAGAAAAGCAAGAGAAATAAGATGAAAAAAATACGAGTCAAAAATAAATAATAATTGCCAATGCTTCATCTAAGAAATTCACTTGGAAATGCTTGGTAAGCGTACTGGTTCAAACAGTGATTAAAACAATGAAGATGAGGATATTAGTTTCAGTTATCAATATTAATAATACTTTTCATAATTTCACATTTTTCAGGAGAAAATCAAACACTGAAGAGAAAAACAAATGTGATATTTAATTTAATAATGGCATTATATTATAATATTAGCTGATTTTGCCACTCAAAATCAAACATATAATTAATTGAACCTTTCCTTGATTTGAACCTTGACACACCAACGCACAAGCTGTTGAGATTTTGGGGTAAAATTGCCTTTGGAATAATAGCTTTTTTTTTTTTTTTTGTTGCTTTTTATAAATTCTATTTTTTAACATTTGTAAATCTTTTCTGAGTTACCCTTTTTTGTTAAATATCATTGATACTAAAAACTGATTTTAAAACAACAGCTATATTTAAAATTATTTAAAAATTTATTTTAGCAAAGCAGCCATATCAATAAATGTATTTTTTTAAAATTTCAAATATTCCTGTTTCTATCCAAAAGTTTAAAAAAAGAAAAGAAAAAAGATTAAAAATGCAATTTAAAAATTCTTCAAAAACATCTGTCAATTATTTGAAACAATATCAACTCATAGAAATTTAAGCATATGTCGGTTTACAGTCATATCATGTTGAATCATTGGTTCCCGTACAGTCTCCGAAGTTAAGCAATGCCAAATCCGGTCAGTACCTAGATTGGTGATCACTTGGGAATACCAGGTGCTGTAAGCTTGGATATGTGGTGATGCAATAGATAATAGCTCGAAATTGTTAATTGGAGGGCTGAGTTCCAATTCATGTTGGGTTCATTAGGTTTCCTTACAGGCAAATACTTTGGGAAAAGTATAAATCCACCTCTTCTCTCTCAAGCTATAGGTTAATCAGTCAGATTTGTATCTGTAAATCATTATTAACTTAAAAAAAAAAAAACAACAAAAAAACAAAACGAAATTCTTACAATCTAAAAATATTTTCTGGCTTTAAATAACCTGCAAAGGGTTGATAAGCTGTAGAAAACAAATCAATCAATCAATGAAATACTGATTAGCTACACAGGCATGTCTTTTAGATTTATTTACATTCTCTGGAATAGAAATGTATAGAAACTACCGTGACCACAAAGTGAGGGATCAATTTATATATTGATTGTAATATAGAATTGATCCCCCCTTTATGTCCACATTATAATTTCTGGCTTTAAATAACCTGCAAAGAGTTGATAAGCCATAGAAAATGAATGAATCAATCAATGAAATCCTGATTAGCTACACAGGCATGTCAGATTTATTTACATTCTCTGGAATAGAAATGTATAGAATCTATCGTGGCCACAAATTGAGGGCTCAATCTATGTATTGATTGTAATATAGAATTGATCCCCCACTTTATATGTACATTATAATTTCTGGTTTGTTGATAAGCCATAGAAAACAAATCAATCAATCAATCAATGAAATACTGATTAGCTACACAGGCATGTCTTTTAGATTTATATGTATAGAAACTATAGTGGCCACAAAGTGAGGGATCAGTTTATATAATAGATTGTAATATAGAATTTCTTTTTTGTTTATCAAATTCTGATTAGGTATGAATCCACCTCTCCTCTCCCCAGCTATGGGTTAATCAGTAAGACTTCTATCACTAAACCATTATTATGTTAAAAAAAATTACAATCTAAAAATATTTTTTGGTCTTGAATAACCTGCAAAGGGTCAATAACCATAAAAAATGAATCAATTAAATATATGTGGGAATTTTTTCATAACTGATTGATAAATAAGTAGAAATTTAATTTTCATCCCGACTTGGAAAATAAACTTTGAACTCATTTTGACTGCAGCAATAATCTTTTCTGAGAAAATAAAATGAAATAATATAAGTCATTTTTTTTTTTAAAACACAAAGAACCCCGCCTCCCCAAGAACTAATAATCAAAGGAAAAAAAATCTAACATTTTTTTTTTAAAGTTTTCACTTCAATTCATGACATGAAAGTTAACAGAAAAAAAGAAACAATATTTACAATATGAAACAGTGTAAAAAGCTTCATTCAATATTTTGATTGTTCTACAATATTAACAGTGGCAGATTTACATTTTTGGGGGCTCAGAAGCTTGAACAGATTTAGTGGGCTTGGTTTTTGCAACCATTAACAATAAGGATTCAACTGCCAAAATATAGGATATAAATAGATTCTGGTGAGCTCAATGAGCCCATACAACTGCAGTTTCAGGCAACATTTTGAAATTTGACTAGTTCCAGAAGAATTTGGAAGCCATATAAAATAGGTATTAAGAGCATATTGTAGGAACAACTTAAACTTATTGGTCCTTTTACTAAAATAGACTTATTTTAATAACAAACATAAAAAAAATTGATTTGTTGAAAAACTGACTCATTAAAAAAAGTTGCTTCAGGGGCACCTCTGGTATTAGGGTCCCTGAAGCTTCATTGGTTTCATCGTAGATCCACCATTGAATATTTGATAACAATTTGTTAGTTTATGCCTACTAATACATAACTGGAGACAGGAAAGAATTTTCAGGGTAAAAAACAAAAACAAAAACAAAAAAAAAAACAAGAAAAAACAAACAAACAAAAAACAAAGAATAAGTGAGATTTATACAATAATAACTTCATAAGCTGAAAATAAAAATCTCAGTACTTAAAATGTGAACAGAGAATATATATATATATATATATATATATATATATATATATATATATATATATATATATGTATATATATATATATATATATATATATATATATATATATATATATATATATATATACATACATATATACACATATATATATATACATACATACATATACATACACAGACATTCGTATATATATACATACACACACATATATATATATATATATATTTCTCCATAAAAGTCAAGTACAAACCTTCTTGGACATTGCTGAGGAGATAATATCTACATTAGTGATCCTGGAGAAAGAAACAAACACCAGCTGTTTCTCGTATTTCAGAAAATGTCAATGCTGAAAACTCAACACTGTGATTAAATGAACGTAGAACACACAATTAGCTGACCCACACCCATTAGAATCGGCCAATGATTAGACAGAGTGTTAGAAAAACAAAAGAAAACAAAACAAAAAAAAAAAATCACAAAATTGCAGAGGGTTGGGGGTGGGGAATGAGGATTAATTATTAACTTTTCCCCAATATAATCATCCTATGCTGATGGACTCTTCACAAGTCAAAAAGCTCATTGTTAACTGGACAGGTCAGAAAAGTTAATTACAATACCCAACTGACCACTTGTTCACTTGCTTTGCTTCTCTTATCACAGAGATTCTTTTGGGAGAGGGCCACACTTTCCATTAATACAACTAAGTAACTAAAAGACTGCATTTATAAAAAAACAAAACAAAAAACAATACTTTCTACTGAGGACTATTTGCAAATTAATTACTGCAAGATTTGTCAAACATTTAGGAATTTATTTAACATTTGATTTATCCATGATTAAGAAAAATAGGATTTAGTCAGTTTTTCCAACTCTAAGAATTCTGATGAAAATAAAAAAAATCAAGAAAAATAAGAAAGAAATAAAAAATTAATAATAATTGACAATAATTCATCTAAGAAATTCTGATAATGTAAGATGATTACTACTTCTTCAGAGCATGGGCAATCATGGCTCTCCACAACTTCCTATCCGTTGTGGTACTTAGCAGTTTTTCTCTTTTTGGTAAGGCTCCCACACCCTCTGTTCTGTAATCTATTCAAACAAGTTCATCAGGTAAGTGGCTTGCTGCCTTCCACTCTTGCTCTCAATATGCCCCGTAAGGATTAAGTTTTCCAAGCCTTCCTTCCTCATTATATGTCAAAGGTATTTCAGCTATCATTTCCTGAATCTGCTATCCATGTATCAAGCTCGTCAAGTAAGTGACTCACTGCCTTTCCCTATCTCTTTTGCACTCAATATGCCCTGTGAGATTTAAGTTTTTTAAGCTCTATCTTGATAACCTAAAGCAATTACTTTTTGATGTAAAAAGCAAGAGAAATAAGATGAAATAAATAGTCAAAAATGAATAATAATTGTCAAGGCTTCATCTAAGACATTCAGACAACTTGAGACTATTACTACTTGGTGGAAAAGCAAGAGAAATAAGATGAAAGAAATACTAGTGAAAAATGAATAATAATTGCCAAGGCTTCATCTAAGAAATTCAGACAACTTAAGACTATTACTACTTGGTGGAAAAGCAAGAGAAATAAGATGCAAGAAATACTAGTCAAAAATGAATAATAATTGTCAAGGCTTCATTTAAGAAATTCAGACAATTTAAGACTATTACTACTTGGTAGAAAAGCAAGAGAAATAAAATGAAAGAAATACTAGTGAAAAATGAATAATAATTGCCAAGGCTTCATCTAAGAAATTCAGACAACTTAAGACTATTACTACTTGGTAGAAAAGCAAGAGAAATAAGATGAAAGAAATAAGTGAAAAATGAATAATAATTGCTGCCAAGGCTTCATCTAAGAAATTCAGACAACTTAAGACTATTACTACTTGGTGGAAAAGCAAGAGAAATAAGATGCAAGAAATACTAGTGAAAAATGAATAATAATTGTCAAGGCTTCATTTAAGAAATTCAGACAATTTAAGACTATTACTACTTGGTGAAAAAAGAGAAATAAAATGAAAGAAATACTAGTGAAAAATGAATAATAATTGCCAAGGCTTCATCTAAGAAATTCAGACAATTTAAGACTATTACTACTTGGTGAAAAAGCAAGAGAAATAATATGAAAGAAATACGAAGATTATTATCTAACATTAAAGTATTTGATTCATATTTGGCTGTATGATAATGTGGCCTCTGAACACTGAATCAGAATATTCATTTGATTTAAAATAGCTTTAAGCATTCAAAGCCAGAAGTATTAATAGAAAATTACAACCAGATAAAACACTGATCAAATAAATGCTATTTTTAATCTAAATTTGGCTAATGACCATTGATCTACTTTGAGTAACATTCACTTTTTCCAGCCAATATTATAACACTTAAGTTGGTCAAATTAAAAAAAATGTCAGATGCCACATCAGATCTGTCGACTGATGGCATGATGAATCAGACAGTGGGAATATTTATTTTAATATTAAATCCAGATTTTGCTAAGTTATATGCAGCCTGATAAATGATAAAGATTTTTCATTTTACATGCAGAAGTTTGGTTGACCAACAGAAAATGTTTAAACACACATATATCAAGAATTCTGTTGTAATATAATGATATCATTTGCTAATAATATTACTAAGAAATATTCCTCATTACCTTTGCTGTAATGTCGGTAATGGTCATCCCATTATTCAATAATAATAAAGATATCTTACTTAACTCAACTGAATTTAATCTGAGTCATCTACAGGCTTACTGCCGTATCATGTTGAAACACCAGTCTCTTTATGATCACCGAAGTTAATCAATGTTGAGCCTGGTCTGTACTTAGATGGGTGACCACTTGGGAATACCATGTGCTGTATGCTTGGATGTGCGGGTGGCATAATGAATAATGTCTCAGTTGTTAATTGGAGAGCCGGGTTCTAATTTCCATGGAGTTCGTTATATTCACTTATGTGCAAATACCCTTGGGAAAGGTATGAATCCACGTCTTCACCCCCCCAACTAGGGGTTAATTAGTAGGACTTGTTTCAGTAAGACATTATTATCGAAAAAAAAAAACAAATAAAAAATTCTTACAATCTAAAATTATTTTCTGGCTTTAAATAGTCAGGAATGGGTTGATAAGCCATTAAAAACAAAGCCAAGTGGTTAAATCATGCCAAATCAGACAGTGTTTCATCCTGCAGAGAGGGATGCAGGTTCGAATCCAACTGGAGGGAACATTTCCTTTAAGTTTTTTTGAGTGCACAGACTGCTAAATGGAAAAAAACAAAATAATGGAGCATCTATTCGGAGAAAAGTATCCATTAAAAATAGCGTTTGGATTAATAAAGATGTTGGATTAAAAAATAAAATCCTTTAATTATTTATACATGCGCATGTGTGTGTGTGTATATATGGCTAAGTGGTTAGCATGTTCACTTTCAAACCTTGAGACCTTGAATCACACCATAGTCGATGATTTGTTAGGAAGGTAACTTCTTGATGTTATCAGCCTTGGGGAGGCCAACAGGGTGACATGGCTGAGTGGTTAGAATGTTCACTTTCTGGCCATGAGACCTGGGTTCAAATCTCACCATGATCAATTTGTCAGGAAGATGACTTCTTAATGTTATCAGCCTTGGGGAGGCCATCCCAGTGTGCAGCACCTTTGAAAAGTGCCTAAAACACACATCATGTGTTAACCCATGCCTCATGAGTGAAATTGTGTAGATAGAACTATTCAAAAGCCTTTAATGGTTGTGTTAACATGAAGCCCCAAGTCATCATGACCGAGGATTTCAGCGTACTGGCCTTGTTCAAACTGCAAATCATGACAGATTATGCATTCTTTCCCAGAAACTATAAGTAAGGTCCACTCAGCATAGTTGTAGTATACGTGGCTCTGTGGACATTGAACAAATGCAAATATGCCTGAGCAGGTGTCTACAACAACGATTAGCTAGCTAGCTGCCCTAGCAGATGGGTGTGCTTGGAAGATGAGTATCCAACAAATAATTTACTATATTTATAGGGAAGAAGTTCTCAATACTGGGGACTGATCGTTTGTAGATATAAACAGTATAAACTTAAAAATCAACTTCGTATGATCTGATGATCACTTAAGATGTGAAACTGCCAGTCATCATGTAGTGTTGATTTGTATGTCCACAGCTTATACACACATAAATAAAAATAAAATCTGTAACCCAAAACTTATTGGCAGAATTCTGATACCAAATTATATAGCAAACTCCCGAGAGGATGCTTTCCTGAACACTACAATCTTCACCTTTTTAAGTCTATGGTCAACTGTTATCTTTCCTTCATATCCTTATAATCTGCATTTCTTACCTCCTCCTCCTCTTGCATTCATACAACAACTTCAGACTCCTGAGAGGATGCTTTCCTGATTACTACAAACTTAACCTCTTCAAGTCTAAGGACAACCCTTATTTATTCTACATATACTCATAATATGCACTTCTTACCCCCCTCCTAGTCTTACATTCAAACAATTTCATTTACTTAGCATCTACCTTGAGTGGCCCTTGGGTCCTGTATTGGGTGAACATTTAGTAAAAAAAGCAAACAAATTATTGCCTAGTTTAAGTCCCCTGAAAACCCTACGTGACACTCTGGTGTCTGATGAAAATCTAGTAAGAGCCAATGTAGCTGTTTTTAAGGTATTCACTGACTGAACATTTAAATCAATTTGCCCCAGACAAGGCAACAATACCACTAAGACACAAGGGGCTACTGGAAGTGAAAGAGAATGAAAAAATTTTAGAAGAAACTGAAAACCTGAGATAAACCTCTACTCCTATTCAAATGACCAAGGAAGATTTTGAACCGGATGATAGGTTGTTATCATTCTACTGACCATATCTAAGGATATCTCATGTTTTAAAAATCATTTTGCTCCAAGTAAGGTGATAAGGCCACTAAGACACAAAGAGATTACTGAGAGGAAAAGAAACTGAGAAAATGCCAAAAATTGCAATTGGCTTTGATTTTAAATCTTCTGTGATTGCCGAGTGGTTAAGGCATTGCATTCAAAATCCAATGGGTTATTCCTGTGCAGGTTTAGATCCTGTCTACACCGATATGTAGAATTTGGTAATAGCAACAGATAGTACTTGACTGTAATAGAAGTTGAGCTTGACTGACTAAGTTGTCCCTCTGGTCAAGTTGGTTGGTTGTTTATATGGCAGCCTGGGAGATTAATCCATTCTGATACCAGGGATGTTTCTAGCTTGTCTGGGGTCTGGATTAGGTGAAAAAAGGCCAATTCAATTATTTCAACTATTTGGCTTCTGTTTATGGAAATTCCTGCTTCAATTAAGTAATTTTCTCTTTTAACAGTGCCATGTAGAGTTTGGTAGTGGCAGATTATAATACTTGACTGAAACAGAAGTTGAGTCATACTGAGCAAGTGTAGAATTTGGTAATAGCAACAGACATTACTCAACTGTAGTGGAAGTTGAGTCTGACTGACCAAGTTTATCTTTGTCACCCAACTGGATGCTAGTTGAAAACCTCCTTGCAAAGGTGAATCTCACACTCTTGATTGTTCAATTTAGTACTGCTCAGTTATTGCTCACCCTGTTCCCACTGAGCCTAGTTAGTGTGAATTAGACACAGTGGAAACAGGGTGAGCAACAGAAAAAAAGTTCAACTATAAAGAACATAATGGAGGAGTTTCATTGTCCAAATAAAATTTGGAATGCTAACACTATGTTAGTCACATGGGGTGTTTTGTTACCCACCAATTTTTAAAGTACTCATAATTCATAGTTGGTAACTTGTTTCTTTTGGTACCTCCCACTACCTCCCCTTGGCACAGTGAGAGTGTGTAGCAAACTGTGTTGCACAGTTGTAGTGGGAGGCAGATGCCAGGGGACTATTCATTTTCAGAAATCCAATATAACTAAAGCAGGGTTAATAACTTCTTAATGTGACAAACAACGTACCTATGGTCAATAATATTTCCTATCTTCTGTTGGATAAGGTTCAATTAATAGATAAAGAACACTTGGAGATTGAGAAAATTGGCACATATTGAATTGTTGGACAGATGTCTAAATCTGGCAAGTGTTTTTTTTTTTTTTTTTTACTCAGCAGGGGTAGAGAGAATTTGAGAGAATCTCAATGTATAAATATGGTGCTTCAAGTTGCTGGGAATGAGCCAAACCGGTTGAAATATTAGCTATCATTTCTCTTTGCCCCATTTTTCTATTAAAAAGAAAATGATCTTTTTCCTAATCAATTTTATACCAGAAAACAGTAGAGTTCATCAGTCAGAACTTATGCTAGCACTAGACATTGTAGACCATCTTATGCTAGCACTAGACATTGTAGACCATCCTATGCTAGCAACAGACATTGTAGACCATCCTATGCTAGCAACAGACATTGTAGACCATCCTATGCTAGCAATAGACATTGTAGACCATCCTATGCTAGCAATAGACATTGTAGACCATCCTATGCTAGCAACAGACATTGTAGACCATCCTATGCTAGCAAAAGACATTGTAGACCATCTTATGCTAGCAAAAGACATTGTAGACCATCTTATGCTAGTACTAGACTTTGTAAACCATCTTATGCTAGTACTAGACTTTGTAAACCATCTTATGCTAGCAATAGACTTTGTAGACCATCTTATGCTAGCAATAGACTTTGTAGACCATCTTATGCTAGCAATAGACTTTGTAGACCATTTTATGAGTGTGGACTAGATTGAAATGCTAGAATGTACACCTGTAAAAATAAAAAAAAACTAAAATATGTTAACCAAAATAGTTTAGAGTGAATCTGGTACTACTTAAGTTCAGTGGTCCATTTGTAAAAAAAAAAAAAAAAAATTTTTTTTGGTGGGGAAATAATTTTTGCATGTTAGCATTTATTTGATCTTCCTCAAGGTGCAATATTTGTCAAGATTGAAAAAATACTGATTTTTTTCTTTAACATTTTAGAAGGAATAGTATCAATACAATAGTAAAACCAATCCCTGGCCTTTTAAAGAGTTATATCTGGAGTTACACTTTTTTTTTTTTTTTTTTAACTACAAGTGTCATGTTGGAAACTGCTTACATCATTGTTTTCTGGTTTACTTTTTAAAATTTCATGAAGTTTTTAAACTTGTAAGCTTATTGAAGTTATGCCATGCATCTTACTTAAAATAAAAAAGAATTTACATTCTTATTCCAAAAGGAACTTCCAAGAATACTTCCTAATTCTCTAAAAAATTACCAGATGTAGATGGCAAAAACAAATATGACCCATTCCCCACAAAAAGATGGTTTATTTACAAAGAGGTGTGGAAATGTTCTTGACCTGAGGTACTTGCCAAAATCTGGTCAAAGATAAGACATTGAATTTATTGTTTTTCTTAATCATTGCATCATATGCTAGGCAATAAAGCCACTAAGATGTGAGGAGTTACTGAGTGTGAAACAATAAGAAAAAGAAAACATTATTAACGAGCAAGAACAATAAAAGAATAGGAATCAAGTAGGCAGTAGACAATGATCAACATTTCATTTAAATTTTTGAAGCAAGAAGCCAGAAAAGAGTTCCACAGGCAAGAAGTGTGATAGAAGAAACTATTAGCAAAGAACTTATGGTTACATCTAGCCAATTCAACTATAAAATGATGAGACCATGCTGCCATTCTAGTACTGCACTTCAATTCATAAAGTGAAACTACCATAGAGCAATGTTCATCAGAACAGTTTTATTTTTTGGCAAGGCTTCTTGGTTGGGATGAAAAATTTTCAGCACCCCTTGGTATCAGAAAGGAACACTTTTTTTTTTTAGTAACTGCCAACTGAAATACTGAGGATGGAAGGATATATCTTTAGATTAGACAAACC